CAACGTCAGCATGAATCTTCCAGTAAAGCCAATCGACAGCTGGTCAAGAGGAATCGGCCGTCGTCTTCTGTTGGAATCGACCTTCGAATCCCTTCTCCCAACACTTTCACTCGAAATGGAAGTAAGCTCAACAACATTAAAAGGTTGTCGAGACTATCAGCAGATCTCATACACGAACTGTACTCAATCATAATAATATGAGTAAGCCTGACTTTTCCATTAAAGCTCACGTGAACTTGCCTCCAAAATGCTATTCTCACTTCGACTAAAGTGGACAGCAGTTTCGACTTCGCGTGAACTGGTCCCATCAACACGCCCAGCGGGACTCGAACCCGGTTTGCAATAGCCCAGCATAAAGTCTAGAAACGGGGACAACCACCACGACAGACTGCCACGAGGGCCTTTGTGTCAAAGAACGGAAACGTGCCGCGTTCTGATTGGCATGTCGAGACTCTACACCGCTCTGGACGGGTTCGAGTTCCGCCGGGGGTACTGATGGGACCAGTTCAGACGAGGTCGAAACTGTAGTCCACTCAAGCCTGAATGAGAATAGCTTTTGTGAAATTGACTGAGAACAGAATATATGCTCATATTATTGCGGCAAAATTGAAAAAAACGTATTTTGTAACTGGTTCTGAGTGAAATTCGTCAAGTAGAAAAGATAGAACCCTGTTCACCAGGGCCATGAGGGAGATTTGGGCATGAGATCGTATTACAATCGACAATTTCTGCAAATCGAAAGGAAGAGGGGACAACGTAAACCATCAGGTGTGATAAATGCCACTAAACCCGTTAAAAAGGGCACACTTGATGGGAAATATAATAGAAATAAATTGGAAGTTGTATTAGGGAGGGAGTGAGGCAAGAGTACGTGGTGCTGGTAGATGTACCAGGACAAAGGGGGGAGTAATAGGACACTAATTTGGCAAAACGTTGTCCAAATGGTGTACATCACTTGTCTCTTTGTCGAGTTGTATCTTGTTGTTGAGAGGGTTAGTGCTCATTGACGATGTCGACTACGATGCTGGCAAAACGTTTGGTAATGTACCAAGTCCACGAGCCAACTTTGACAAATATGATAACTATCAGAGTTGAGGACCTCGGAAAAGGTGTGCCTAATCAGGTCGTTTTGACGACAGGAACAGATTGTGAAAACAAGGTCAGACCACCTTATACATCAACAAGAGACTGTGATCAAAACGAATGCTACCATACCCTGTTCTTCATACCTACGCATAAAATGTAGATTTCATCAAGTTTATCATAAGCTATTTTAACGCACTATACCTTGTTTATTTAAAATGATTTGGAAAAATCGTACCTTGAAATTGAGAGGTACATTAATTTAGAACAAGGTAAGCCAAATAACCTGAAGCGAATATACTTTTTTAATAGTGTTATACGTGAATAGGATGGAATAACTCTTTATGCAAAAGTAGCGACTAAATGCCACTATAGAGACCTTGAATATATATTTTTCAGTTATAAAGTATAATACTTGTGTTTAATTTCCAATTTAGAACTATTAATTCCAAACATGCTCACTTATGGTATGGAATAAAATAGATCATGTGATCTGACTTGATAAATATATATATATATTTATAATGCCTTTAGGAATGTACTTGGTTTAGAAACATAATAAACAAATATTATTGTATCTGTATTCCCAGCAGATTGGACTCCCACCCAAGTATCACGAGTAACCTTAACATGAATCGGAATCTGGCAATGCAGAGTATATTCTTGACATATTGTCATAATACCAAACTGTCACGACTATTAAAGCTGGGCATTTCCTATTTCATGTTTTCTACAGAGGGATTGTTGATGATACAAACCTCTATTTGTCATTATAATGATCAAATTTCGCACTAGTTTAAAGTATTAGTAATAAAAGATATAATATAATAGTATAATATATATAATATTTTATAGGTATTGTGTTCAATTTAAGCATCTGGCTCTGTAAAAAATAAAATCGCGTAATGTTAATTTATTTTAATGCAATTTAAATTTTAAGTAAACTAGTAA